CTTGACTAGCAAAAGGGGAGATGAAAGCCATGTGAAATTAGAGGCCAACAGCAAGCTTATACATTTATACATTTCGTGATTCATTGATGTAAAATGGCATCACAAATTGTAGAAGATCTCATAGAGCTCACTGTGCAGATAGGTATTGCCAAAAGTGCCAAAAATCGCCACAGTTTGCCTGCAGTTTAGATTCAGATGCTCATTTTTATGCCGTCAAAAACTGGCAAAAAAAAAAAACATACATACATACAGATGGTAATTTTTTCGGTGCTTCTAAGCTGGTGAGTAAAACAACACCTTTTAGGCTGTTCTAACATTCCAAGAGGAGACAAAAAAGCAGTTAATTAAAAATGTATGTGCTATATTTTACACTATTTTTTGTTAACGAATGCATTTGAAAAGTGACAATAAGTGGCCATTTTGGCTTTCGAGGGTCCAAGTTTTTTTTAAAACATGAACACAAATCGTTTTCTTTCGCTGTTGAGCGCAGACAAAGGGAATACAGGTTCTCAGAGGAGTGAACGCTCGTCTTTCTTCCTTTTCCCCCAGTTGACTGCCACTAATTTCATTATATTGTTCTGCTGGACTTTGTCTATCAATACAATCCTAGAACAGACTGATTAAAGCACTAAAGCTTTGTACTTGTTGAAGATTTACATTAAGACGATTTACCAGTTTGACTTTTTGTTTTTGTTATTTACTTGCTCGCAAAACCTTTTAACACAAGAATAAAATCATCTTAAGAATAGGGCACAAGTAAGCATGATGGAGAAAGATCCACTTTTCTGTTGTAGTGATGAAGTCCTTTAATGAAGACATCTTCCTCCTATTTGAAAGTTTTTCACACATTTATCCTGAATGCGTACTCGTGGTGTAGTGTCATCTTGTTTCTGCCTTGTTGGTCCAGATGTTCAGGGATCAGAAACAGTTGGAGGAGAACCTCAAATAAGGCCGCATTCATCCATAGGAGGATGTCTTAGCTCAGGACTTCACTTTGCCATATTTCCACAGCAGTTACTAGTGCCGGACCTGATTACAGCCTAACCATCAACTATATGGAACTACAACTGAGATCAAAACTAGTGAAAGTGATAAAAGCTCATGAAAAGATCATTTTAGAAGATGCAGTACAGGGTTTGGAAGTGCACAGAAATCATTTGTGGTCTTTAGTTATTGGTGCATAACAAACACAGTCTACTGAGGACAACGTACAGACCTGCTGGATCTCCTTGGCGCTGCGTTGCCTCTCCAGCCGGTTCATCCTGCTGCCTCGGTCCAGCTGCTCGCCGAGCGCCGTCAGCTGTCTGTCTCTGTCGTCCACGTCGGCTCTCATTCGTTCCAGACTCTCTGCTCGATACCTGTCCAGCTCCTTCCTGCTGCGGGCCTCCTGGGCCGACTGATGCCGGGCCACCTGGAGCTCCTCCGTCTGGGACAAAGTGTCATTTTATTGTCATCAGACGTCCAGGCTGCACTTTTACACTTTGTTTCCCTCCAAGCTTCTGGTATTATGAGAATTTAAAATGTCCTCAGTTTACTGCAGAGCTTTACATGAATCATGAAGCTCGCGGAGGCAAAAAGCACTTCTAGTTTAATTTGACACTCGCTCTCTAGAGTTAGAGAATCTGACAACTGCACAAAATAAAGGCACAAGATGATTTAATGGAGTTGTGCCTCTGGAAGTGATCAAGTTTCAGGATTACCATCATGACAAGTGTGTAAACAGTCACTCTGGTTTGTTGTCGGCTACCTATACTATGTGCTGCTGTGTGTCTGTATGTATGTCCTGCTGATCTTCTGTGTTGGTGAGCCGAAGACAATTTTCCATCTTGGTTGACAACAAAGTTTTCTTCTGTTGTATTCTACCTTCCTGCCGAGCAGCTTCTTGGTGCTGCTGCACTCGTCCTGACATCGAGCTAAAACCTGCCGGCTGACGTCCAGCTCCTCCTGCAGCAAAACCACCTTCTCCTCTGAAATCAGCTTCACTCTGAGAGCCTCGCTGCGACTCATGACCTCCCTCTGGACAAAGAAAGAAAACATTAAATACCATGATCATAATCTCTGCTGCCAAACAAGTACTTTGTTAATAATCTAAGAACAAGATATTATGATGAGCACATGGCAGCAGGTTAATACATTTGGGAGAAGAAGCACAAACTGACAACTTTGATAAATAATCTGTCTGTTAAGTGTAATTTAATATATAGCAAATCTGTTAAATGATCATACATTTTGCTTGATCTCAAATACTTTTTTAAAACATGTGCTTTAAAAAACGAACTTCTGCAGTGTGTAACATGTCAATTACATAACTGACTGAAGTGTAACAGGACTGAGGAAATACAACAAGTAATAAACCAAAGAAGATCCCATAAAAGATAAAGTAAAAAGATAACTATAAACTATAAGATAACTATAAAAGGCTAATTTTAATTAACCCTCTAAAAAGCAGGGAACATAAAAGGCATGTGATCTATTAAAAACACACAAAAAAATCATCAAAATAACTTCTGTTATTGGAGCCAGAAACTGTAAAAACAGAAGGATTTTCTACTTTCCAACTGTCCTTGAACTACTCATGTGTGACATGTGGCTCCATCAGGAAAAGAAACCAAATCTTAAGTGTGTTTCATTAATACATTTACAAAAAAAATTAACCATTTACACGAACCAGATTCTGTAAAAAGCAAAAAAAAAACAGTGAAGCCATTAGTGGCACAAGACGAAACATCAGAGACTTTTTGGCTGAACTTCAGACTGTGTAGAAGATAAGTATGGAAACAAATTAAAAATGTATATAGCAAAATATCTATAGTTTGTAGAATCGTCATTTTCTTCCAGTGCTGGTAACACCTGGGGCACTTGGAAAAATAGTAGATGTGTTTTTTCACCTGTTTTTGTAATAATTTTGTGTTGTTTAAAGATTTTTTATTTCTTTTTCTGATTTATGGCCTCGTAGCTGCGTCACAGAAAACATGACAAAGTTCATGGTTTAGCTGTTTCCATAGAGGTGCAGAACTTTATATTACAGTAAAAAAAAAAAAAGTGAGCACACGGTGAGTAGATATGTAACAGGAGCACAAAAATACCTGCACACTGCTTGATGTTCAAGATAACCCTCGAAATATTTAGCAAAAAAACAAACCTAACCTGCTGAGTCTGGAGCAGCTGTCGGTGAAGTTTCTCCTGATCGACCGTCTGCCTCCAGCAGCTCAGAGCCTTCAGTTTACAGATCAGAGCCTCCAGCCGACTGTTCTCCGCCCTCAGCTCGTGGACTTCTTCCTTCTACAAAACACAGATCAGAGTGGGACATTGTGTTGCGAAGATTTACTCCGAGGTTTGATCTTTCCGTGACTCTACCTTCAGCTGTGTGAGCACCAGTTCGTTGTGGTCTTTGGTGCAGCCGTAGTTCTTCTTGAGCTTCACGATTCGGTCCACTCCTTCAGCTCTTGTTCTGTTAACCATCGCGCTCACTTCCTGCTCTATCTGCTGGTGGTACTCATCGAGTCCGGCCTGAAGATGGTGACAAAATAAAGTCTGTAATGGCTCGATAGCTAAACCAATCATATCATATTCAGTAACTGGAACAATTTAAGGAGGAAAGAGTTAAAAATACAGCAAAGAACTCAACAATAAGAGGAGAGTGAATTTACATTTTGCAGAGTTTCAATGCAACATAAAGAAGCCTTTTTTAAAACTAGGAAAGTTACAGAGGAAAGCTGTATCTAATCAGAGCCGTTGTTTTTAGTTGTAGTCCTGATTTAAAGTCCCACCTTGAGCTGGATGCAGGTGGAGTAAAGGTGTCGCACCAGAGGGTTGTATCTTTCTCTGAATTTGAGGCTGAGCTGCTCCTCTAAAGTCTTCTTCTCTTCTTCCAGCTGAGCGACTCGAGCCTGCAGACCTGAAACCTCCAGCATCATCCCACGACATAAATCTGCCACCTGAGGAATAGAAACACGACACAAAAGCAGCGTTTGACTTGATCCGAGAGCACACGGGACACAGTTCGAACACATCGTTGTTGAAAGCGATCGTTTTGATGTTGCACATTTGTCCTTGACATTTTGAATGACTCTACTTTTGTAGCCAGTTATTTATATGAGGTTAGGAATCTAGTGAGAGATTAGAATGAATGTAGCAAGAATAAAGCGAGAACAGGCAATAAAACACGAAGCAATCAAAAAATATCAATTCTATTCATAAATATTACATGTCTGAAAGAAGTAAGAAGAAGAATGCACTAGTATAGACCTGCCTCAGATAGTTTAGTTTCATTAAAGTGTATCCTTATTAAACAAACATGATCAACATGCAGGAACCAATCCAACAACATCAACTACTACAAGCATCACATTCCTGAACCGATCTTTACCCTGGATCTCTCAAACAACATGTTTTTGAACTAATTTATATTTATTCTCAGCATCTAAAGCGCTCCACAAATTCCCCCTAAAAACTGAACTACTCTGTGTGGTATGAACACAATGTTTTCTTCACTCCAAAAGCTTCTGGTGGGTATAAAAGGCTTTTCAACAATAAAATTACAAAAATGGCCCCATTTATCTCAAAAACTGTGAAAACTGAAAAAAAAAAAAATCATTGGATTTTTAACTTTCCAACAGTCCTTAGAGTGATCATGTTTGATTTGCAGCTTTGCTGAAAAAATGAAGCAAATCTAAGTTCAAAATTGTGATATTTGCTTTTTTTTTTTGAAGTCAGGTTATTGTATTGTATTTGTATTTGTAAGGTCTATGCCTTACTATGTTAAGTGCTGTGTGATAACATGTGTTGCGCTATACAGATACAATTGAACTGAATTGAACTGTACATGTGCCAATACATTTTGATTTATTTTCTGTTTCCAAAGAGGCTGCACGATTTCAACCAAAAATGCACCAAAACTGTGCATGATTCAGGGTTAAATTAAATTCACCTTGAAATGTATAACCCTCCTTTCTGTATAAACCCTATTTTGTATTTTGCAAGGAAGTAAACTATTTCTTGCTTTGTTCATTAGCTGTGCCACTCTAAATTCCACCAAGCTTGTGTCCTTAAAAACAAAAAATTGTTGTGTTTACTTTCCTCCATGAAAATTCAAGAACTGGTCAAAGTCATTAGGATTCAGCCTCTGGGGACAACGAATATTTAAGTTTTGTGGTAATTTATGCAAAATATGACAAGATGCTGAAGCTTGATATTTGTTTTCACTGTTTGGCGGCCATATTTGTTTCTCTTTGGAGTCACCAACCAACACTGACATATAAGAGTAAAAGCCTTCAGCTCCCAGCTGTCTGAGAAACAGCAGCAGAGAAGTCCCAGAAGCTCTACAGAAATCCCCTTA